GGGGATTAAAATATCTTCATTTTCAACACCTTTTAGTTATTAATTTATTTTTTTATATTATATTTTATTTTTAATTAAAATTTAAATTAAAAAATAAAAATTTGAGGGTGGATCGGGAAAATCTGAGGCAAAGATTCTATTCCTTCTCCCTCGTCCCATTTACCAACTGGGCAGGGATTCTCCAACCCCTATGATAACACAAACAAGTGTGTTTGACCCGACGCGCAGTTTTTCAAAATAGCACTGACACGATTATCGATATATTGATTAAATTCTTTAAAATTCATAATTTATATAGTCATTGTTTGGGCTCCATTTTAATTTTAATGCATTATTCTCTTTTGCCTTTTTTCAACTACATATTCTTCAATAAATTATTATTACATGTAAATCCAAAATTTCTCATTTTTTAAACACATGTTCTCCAAAAAAAAAAAAAAAAATTACTATGTCAAAATACATATTCCCATAATTTGATTTTAATGGAGCCCAAACAAGTTATTGAATTTTTTTGATAAAATCTTTTAAATATGAGTACCAATTTGTTATTTAACAATAATTAAAAAAATAGAATTTTACCAACCCTATTCGTGGTGCATTGAGAACATTACATAGCTTGTGAGTTTACATACATTGCATTCTCCTTTGTCTTAGTGAAATCATAAAGTAGACGTAGCTCTTGCACTGAAGAGTCAACCACACTAAATTTTGTGTTCTTGCTCTCTGTTTTCTCTTTTTCGTGTTATTATTGCTCTCGGTGATACATGATCAGCTATTAATCTGTAATAGCGTGTACGGAGAAGAATTGAAGCTAGTTTCTCAGAAAGTAAACAACTTTCCAAACTAGTATATGATTATGAACAGTCTCTCCACTCCTTACTGTACGATATGAGATGGATGATGGAACATTCCTTACTGTATTCCTTACTGTTCTTTCTTTCCAGTTCACAGTCACTGGTGTTAAAGCATCTGGATAGTAATTGTTTAGTTATCTCGTAAGTTTTTATCTAACAAATTATAATTGCTAGCTACATCTCTTGCAGTGACGAACTGAACCTCAATCTGACTGAAGCTGCATGGGTGAGCCGACATTAAACTTGTTTAGTAAATTATGATTTAATTCCCTTTAAATTAATGTGTAGAGCAAATAACGATGACCCATTACTCTCATTGAAATGTTTGTCCCAAATTTTAATGAATTATACCATTATGAGAAATATCTTTTCATTGATTTTAGAATCACAGTGAAATGCCATTCTAGTCTCAAAACCACTTTAATATATGTTACTTACATGTGACTATATAGTCTCTTGTCTGTACTATTATGACTTGCAATCTGAGGAAGTAGCTGTTCTGTTGCGCCTTCATAAAAAAGATGTACTTTACTGTTAACTCCTCAAAATACATTACCAGTGGAATCAATTTTGACATTTTTAAACTGCGAAGCAGTAGTTCTATTGCTGTTTTATATGTTGTGATTCTCAAATCTCAAAGCATGATGCCCTTTGACCCAGTTGTTAATTAGGTTTCAGTCAGATTCGACAAGTTATGGGACCTAGCTATAACACATATACGTTCCATCCATTATGAAACCGAAGGCCTACACTAAAGCATCAAAACTCGCTATTGGGGCAGAACCCATGAGGTGCACCAAATCCAAATCAAGTTATGATTTCAAATAAGTAAATGGGCTTTGAGGCAAATAGTTAAGCTAAAAGAAAAAAGATTCTAACATAGAAGATACAAGAAGTTGAGCTCCCTCAGAAATGTTTGTTAAAACTAGATACTCTGAGATTTGTACTAGGTCATTCCCCAAGGGAATAAATAAACATTCAGTCAACACTACTTTACCTCCCAAGTTAAAAGAAACGGTAAAATAAAGGGGTTAATAATGCATGTCTATTGTTGTAAATAAGAGGCATAAGCTACATAGTAATGAACATATATACTATGTAACAGATCATATTCCCTTTATGGAATCCAAAAGTACAACGTATTGCTTGTGGGCTTGCACATAAAGAATTGAAGGCTTACAATGCATTTTCTTAGGGATGTGTGAGGGTAATATTTAAAATTTTATATATAATTTCAGGTCTCTGTCCTTCCTCCACTAGCTTCAGTTTTCGTTACAACAATTGCATCACAATTTGCAGACAACTTAATTTCCAAAGGGGTTGATACCACCATGGTAAGTTGAAGAGAGATGCTCATGAATATATTATTATTATTGTTATTATCTCCTCCTCCTCCTCCTCTTCTGTTGCTGTTGAACATATTATTTCTAGGAGCATGTTAGATTCTTTCGATATATGAACCTTTTACATTAGTTATATTCTTCTTTGACTTTGCATATTGGTTTTATAGTGTCATTGTTTGTTTTTTTACACCATGCTTGATTTGTAGAGACTTAGACCTTAAAGCAATACACTTAGAAAGAAAAATATTTGAAGTATTTAACTCTAAATGAGATTTAGTTTTATTTTTCTTCCTATTTGTTGTATGTGGCATGACCTAGTCTACGAGGACGGGGTTTAATAGATTAAACGAATAATCTGTATTTCTGAGAGCAATTTATAATGTGATATAGGATAAATGAAAGCAAGAAAACAAACTAGGGGTTCACTCTCAATGTAAGAGCACGTCCACTAGGTGCCGCTACAGAGTTGCACTATATAGAAGAAGAGAAGTACAATGTATTTGTGGACTCACGCCTCTTTGTTTTCTCTATACAATGACGCACAGAAATGAGGGCTTTTACACCTTGTATATGAGAGGAAAGTATTATGGTAACCTAATACATGTGCCAATTTCCCAAAGCGCCCCTACAACACTTTTTGAAGTTTTTCTGAGAAGAGAAGTGTATAGGATATTAGGCGCTATGCATTAAACAAGGGAGCAAGACAATGAACAAATAGGCTGGAACAGGTAGGCTTGACCTCAAGCTCAGTGGGCTCAACCTTGGACATAGCTTCTAGTTACATGCGACAAAGACAATGGTGGTGGCTGCATTGGCCTCCGATGCTTGTGTCAGCCTGGGGAGAGAGAGTTTCGTCTTGTTTGATGAATTCGTCCTACATGGTATAGGACTCCTCTTGATGAATATGAATCAATTTGGATGTAATCTAATAGAGAACCACTCCTAGTAGAACCAGAAGTGCTATTGTAGTAAGTAGATGAGTCATAGTTGGAATGTCTTACTTGATAATTAGAAGAAATATAGCAGTGAAGTGGTATTGTAGTACTAGAGATTCTGCAATCCGGACTATCAGTCCTGTGGAAATGAGATGTAGAGCCTACCCAAGGTGGTCTATTTGGTCCACAAGGCCCAAGGTGCTTGTCTTCAGGTGGAAAGTGTGTAGAAATGTGGATGCTTTGATAAGTTGAGCTGGGTCTGACAGATTTTTACCTCATCATTATGTATATGACGTGGCACTCTTGTGTTATGTTCTTCAATTGTTTGGTTCTTTCTGACCAAGTTTGAGGTTTCATGTATTATGATTTTCTCATGTTGATTTTCTTGGTCTTCAATTGAAGAAAAACTTACACTTCCGTCTTTGATTATTGCATTATCATTTATACTCAGTACAGTGTTTGCATGGGAAAAAAGAGATTGAGCGTGCAAAATTACAGATTTTTATTTTGCAGAATGGAATATTGAATCACTTTCTGTTTATGTTTTGAAATTTAACAACGAAATCAATTTACAGAACAGAATTCAAAAATTGAAGAATAAAGTCAATTTACGATTTTCATGGACCTTTAGAATCAGTGCTTCTTGTTGTAACAGGTGAGGAAAATTTGCCAGACAATTGCATTTTTGTCTCCTGCAACTTGCATGATTCTTTCCTCTTTGGACTTGGGACTAGATCCATGGGAAATTGTAACAATTCTCACAGGCGGTTTAGCACTTTCAAGTTTTGCCTTATCAGGTACTGAATAGAATAGCATTTCATGCTTACATTGAACGAAATTATTCAGATTACAGTTTTAATCTATCTGCTTGAGAGTGTTAATCTAAGAATTTCTCGGCTGCAGGACTATATTGTACACATCAAGACATTTCACCTGAATACGCAAGCATTCTTTTGGTATGTAAGAGAACTGAGTAGTTACTGTGTTTTCTATGACTACCAAATATAGCACTTTTCATGTTCAATTGAAAGTGAGGCGATAAATTTGATCTGTTCATCCAGGGCATTACGAACACTGTTGGAGCTATACCTGGAATTGTGGGTGTTGCTCTCACTGGCTACCTTCTCGACTCAACTCATTCATGGGGTGTAAGTTACCATTCTTTACTCCACATTCAAGGTCCTATACTAATAGTAAGCAACCTCAGAGTTAACTATGTTTATGTCGTGTAGATGTCACTGTTTGCACCGTCGATATTCTTCTATCTTACTGGTACTATCGTATGGTTGGCACTTGCGAGCAGCAAGCCACAAACCTTTTCAAATAGCGATTGATGTCCGTATCAGCCCTGAATCAACAGAATCTGTTCAGAAGTACTAATGACCCGAACAACAATTTTGAGGAATAACTTTCCTTGTAGGCTGCCTAGGACTTCTTTTGTCCTGTCTGTATATAAAATCATAGGCTTCTGGCATTTAGCAAAATCTATTCTAAATTACACCATATATGATTCTTGTAATTTTATATTGCTTCTGCAATATTATATTTGTTTCAGAAATTGATGAATCAAGAAATTTGTATTAAAGTGAAAAATAGTAGTTGAATTATTTATTTATTTATTTATTTAAGAAAAAAAGGCGTGTTTTGTTATTTGTGATTCTCTAAGGTCATTTTTCGACTTTCCAAGGAGTGCATTTTATCGAGGGAAAATTAATAAAGAAATCCACAATATTTAGCTCTTTCCTCGACTATAATGACGAAAAAATTTGATGGATTTTCAATATCTAGCTTTTCCATGTACGCAGGAAGTGAAACATTTGACATGTGAACAGATAGAATAGAGTGAGGAACTACAGTTACAGGCTTTGAAAGGGCACAAAAATGGGCGTCAAACTCAGTAAAGCTCCATATGAGCCTATTTTCGTGCACAGAGGTACCGTTGAAGTCTTACCTTAGCCTGGACGGTACTATGGCTGTCCAGATTGATGAGAGTAATACCTTGCTGCAAGAATGCGATACAAATTCATTCTCCATATAAACACGAAATAATGTATGTAGTTTAGGTTAAGTTCAGTTGATCTTACAAATTGTGTAGTCTAATTAGTGTTGTCATACAGATTATCTATGCAGATCAGCATCCGCGGTTAGATTTTTGTGGGGTTGAAAGAGAAGTAGGAATCACCTTCACAGGGGTGCTGGGTGGGCAGAAACTTCGGACCAAAATTTCATTAAGGATTATTTTGAAATTTCACACTATTAATTTCGGTTTGCCTTAATTTGTCTTATAAATAGAGAGCCGTAATTAGGACTTTGAATAGTCATCAAAATGGAGATAGATGGGTTAGAGAAGATAAGGTGTGAAATTTTCTTTTGTAAACTTCTTTTTATTATAGTAAATTACTATATTGGCAATGAAAACGTAGTTTATATTGAGTCAAATCTCTATAGACCTTGCATGTTCTTGTGTTTATTTTTGTTCTGAGATTTTATTGTTCTCACTAATATAGAATTATAGTTTCTAATTGTCAACTGATATTCATCCATGTAAAGTTTGTTGACAGATCAAAAGAACATTCCATCCCATTAATCGACGCCAAAGAAGAGCACTACAAAGAGTCAAAGACAGCAGATCATTTGGTGAAATCTGATATATTGTACTGTCAAGTCATTTCCGGTACTACTAATTCAACTACATACGTATTTGGAACAGTTGTGTTAAGTAAACTGTAGTAACTACTGATGCTACCAAAAATCATACCTGTAGATTTCCCGAGCTTGATGACTGATGATGAGCACGAACGTGATCTTCCGATACCTGAAACAAAGGCAACGAGGTGT